ACGCTTAAGATTCTGTAATGTAGAGAATATTGACTCGCAAACCATGTTTTGCACCGAAAATGTGTACAAAAAACAAGTATATAATCGCATGAATTATTCGCGTTTTTGGCTTTAAGTTCATTGTTCTGACATAACATTTATGAATATATTTTAAACACAAAACTCTTTTATTAAAAAACCTAACAAAAAATTGACAGGATTTTGTACAACCATGAAAAACTTTCAAACACATGGATAGACAGACAATTCGATAGCCTGACCACGACTCTAGTCATTGATTTCTAGAGGCATTAATTATAAAATATAAGTATATTTATAAAAATATTTACACTAATTATCACCTCAACCCACTCTATGATAAAATAAATTAATAACAATGTTATGATTAATGTAATGAATAATTAATGATGGGTGGGAGAGCGGGGTGTATTTAATATACCATGATTGTTTTCCTAGTGCAACGGTGGTTACAATTGACAAAATATTTTCTAATTAAAATAACTTTTACTTAAATAGCATTACGAAGGAAAAGGCTTTCACTCAATGAATATTCACAAAAATATGGGTCATATTGAATGAAATGAATCGTTACATAAGCTAATTATGACTTTAATAGTGACTTTATATGCTAAGTGTATGATTATGTCACATAAATAGCCGACAGTCTTATACACTATAACCCCGTAATCCTTACCAAAGTGGAGACGACCACAAAGTTTGTGTCGTCTTCTTCCGGCTGTTCCACCGCAATAGGTCAGCGGTTCCGACACAGGGGTTCGGCTCTGAAGGAAGTACAGCCAAAACATAATGCTCTGCATCTGTACGTCAAACGGATCGCTGAGTCGGAAGACAATTGCGTGCAGACAGTGGTTACCGCCGACGAAGTGGTCGTACGTCTGATAGTAGCACTCAATGCCACTGAACTCCCAGATACTGATGTCGCCGACGCCCGAAATGGTCAGCTGTTGACAGTCTATACCGTGCGTACAGTTCTCGCGATTGGCGCCTGAATTGTGACTAAAATCTGACGGCGCGGTAGGAGTGGTCGGTGTAGTGGACGGCGATTCCGGCACTGGAGTAGTGGTCGTGGTTTGCGACGAATCCACGGATTTCTTGTGCAAAGAGTTGTAAAACGATTTGGACGACCGCCGAAACCAACCACTAAAATATCCGCACTTTAATGACTCGATGAGTGTGGTCTTCCCGGTGCCGGAGTTGCCGAGGATTTTCAGTTTCCAGCGCTGAATGGGTTGACTGTTTGGCGCCAATTGAGTGATGTATTCCTCTTTGGTCTGTTCGTTCCGCAGTCGCGCCAATAGGTCCGCCATTTCGTTGTGGTTCTGAGCGATGGCACAGATTTGAGGGATAATCGCGTTCTTTGTCTTCACGTCCACACGACTGCCCGCCAGACACAGACACCGCACGACCTCTATGTGACCGTTCTTTGCCGCTAATTATCATTAAATATTTATTTTTTTGCTATTTATTATGACCAGGGCGTGATTATATGGATTTCGACTACCCGGGTAATTATGCTACAACTACCTATTTTATTTAACAGTAATTAACCTCAGTAGAGGTTCATATAAATTTTCTGTATATACACATAAAGGAATTCCTAATCTATTTATTCAATTTGCTAAATAAAGTATTTGGTGGACCGTAATAACACAGGTAGTCGGAATGTCTATTATAATTAGCGTCGGGATTGTATGAAATACCTAATTGTAAAGGATATAAACCACTCTTATTGGGCGCATTCACATCACAACCCAATGAGCATAGGGTCTGACAAATAGGCAACAAATTGAATCGCGAGGCGTAATGAATAGGTCTCTCTCCCCGATCGTCGACCGCTTCGATGTCGGCGCCGGCCCTCAGCAGAAGGGCCGCCACCGCCACGTGTTGTCGTTTCAATGATAAGTGTAAAGGAGTGTAAGTGTTCTGCAATTAATAGTAAATAATTTTCATTATTAATCCACACATGGATTGACAGACAATTGAATTGCAATAATAAATAAAACTCCAGAATCGATACCTTATTCCTGACGTCAGTGCGAGCGCCGGCCTCTAAGAGACAGCGGACGCATTCCGAGTGACCCCTCGCCGACGCCACGTGAAGAGCCGTCTCGCCCTCCTATATGTGCCACACAATCGCCGATTAGTGACTCATTTTATACATTAATTATAAAACCTAACAATTGGTGCCAACATAATGTCAACATCTCTGAGCCAGTAATGAATAATTCATAAATTAGTTTAGAAAATCAAGAATTATTTATTACTAGAAAATTACTTCAAATTCTCTGATTAATGACAGTATTAAAGAGTTATTTGAGAAGTTAAACACTTAAACAATTTCAACAACAATACAATTTTATGTCAAATATATTCTTGAAAATTGAAACCTAATTGTTAGTGAAAACTAAGTCAAATGGTTGTGTCTAAACTGCACCAATCTGTAGGCTTTTCTAATTTAGCAAATCATACCTTATTGTTGATGTCTGTGTGAGCGCCCACTTCGCCCAAAATATGCACTATTTTAGGAAAGCCGTGCCAAACGGCGATTAACATAGCTGTCTCCCCGTGCTATCAATGCCATTAAATTATTAATACAACAAATAATATATAAATTCAATTATGTTTCTTAAAAAACTGATAATAACCTCATCGACGGCGTCCACATTAGCCCCGCATTTGCACAACTGCTCGACGGCCTCCACGTGCCCGTAACGGGCGGCCACGTGTAGGGGTGTCTCCAGATTCTGTACACGTATTAAATTATTTAATAAATTAGATAAAGTCAATGGAAAAACAGAAATTGTTAGCACAACTGCTCGACGGCCTCCACGTGCCCGTAACGGGCGGCCACGTGTAGGGGTGTCTCCAGATTCTGTACACGTATTAAATTATTTAATAAATTAGATAACGTCAATGGAAAAACAGAAATTGTTTGTAAAATATAAAGCAAACAAACTTTATTTGTTTGGTTGACATTCGCGACGCTATCGTAGAAATAGTGGATAATCGCCGATTGGTTCTGTCGAGCGGCCCAATGGACAATGGAAAAACAGAAATTGTTTGTAAAATATAATGCAAACAAACTTTATTTGTTTGGTTGACATTCGCGACGCTATCGTAGAAATAGTGAATAATCGCCGATTGGTTCTGTCGAGCGGCCCAATGGATAATTGAGTCACCCCTCTATAACCAGGATAATAGATGGTTAACACATTAACAAGCTAAAATAAAAAGATAGTCAACAAACTCACATCATCGGTCAACTTAATATCGGCCCCTTTCTGGTGTAAAAATCTCAAAATATCCAAATACCCTAATCCGGAACAGTAGTGCAACAGTGACTCCCCGTGCTATCAATTAATTAGTAAATAATTATGGTAATTAGTTTTCAGTAAAAAATTTGATACTAAAAATTAATGAGTGGCATTTAGCAAATTTAAAAACTTTATGAAACAGTGTGAACACAAACCCGATTGCATAGATTGGGGTCTATGTTTGACATCACAAATAACTCCTGAATGGCATTGAGATTGCCGTCCTCTACGGCCCCGAACAGCGCCGCCGACACAAAGTTCTCGTCATTCTATGGGTTTATGAGAAAAATTAAAAATTTTATTTGTAATGCAAATTATCTTAAGTTTTTTCAATCGATTAAAAATAAAATATTTTGTAATGTTGAAAGTGATCATTAACTTCTTTCTTAATTAAGAAAATATATAATTTTAATTCACTATAAAAAATAAATGAAAGCAATGTGCGGCAGAAATGATGTAATTGTGGATAAAAACTATGATAAATAAAATATAACTCCAGAAATCTTCATGGTTTATCAATTTCTACACAAATAAGTATAAACTTAATTATAGACTTAACATGGTACTTGAACATCTGCCGTACAGTTACATAACAATATTTCAATAGAAATTAATTAAGACCCGTTTTGATTTACGATTTGCATAACAAATTGTACATGCTTCATTTTTAGATACGCTTAAGATTCTGTAATGTAGAGAATATTGACTCGCAAACCATGTTTTGCACCGAAAATGTGTACAAAAAACAAGTATATAATCGCATGAATTATTCGCGTTTTTGGCTTTAAGTTCATTGTTCT